CTCCCTGCATAGGAGCACAACTTCCTGGGCATGCTTCTGAGGTGGCCCCAGGCCTGACCAAAGAGCTTAATTTGAAAGGAGCCTAGTCACCAGGGTATTGTGGGAGTGTTGAGGGTCCTCCTTGCATAGGAGCACAACTTCCTGGGCATGCTTCTGAGGTGGCCCCAGGCCTGACCTCCCACTCCCAGGACCAGAGGCCTCCCTAGACACAGGGAGAGGACAGTCCTTCAGAATAGGGCCCTTTACAGAAGAGGTCCTAGAGGCCTGCAGTGAGTCTGCAACAGTGGATGGGGGTGGAGCAGTACATCTGAAAAAGGGCAGATATGGTGCCATCTATCCCAAGTGCCAGGGTACCAGGCACAGGGTGATGTAGAACCAGCCACGTCAGCACCCAAAGCTGGAGTCCATGTGGGCAGAGCCAACAAGACCTCCTCCAAAGCCTCCCCCAGCAGCCCAGGCCACCCGTCCACCTCACAGAAGCCCAGGCCAAATTCACATCACAGACACAGATTGTGTGCCATCTGTGCACGCGGTCCCGTGGAGCCAGAAGATTCTGTGAAGATCCTCTGACCCTGGGCCTGTACATTTTTTTGTAAAGGAGCCAACAGTAAATATCTTAGGCTTGGTGGGCCAGACGGTCTCTGTCTCAAGGATAGACAACATGTAAATGAATGGATGTGGTTGTGTTGCAATAAAAAAAAAAAAAAATAGGATGAGTGGGATTTGGCCAGCTGCCGTAATTTGCTGACCCCTGATCTAACCTGTCTCCTCAGCTCAGAGAGGCGAAGCGGTTTGCCCCAGAACGCACAGCCAATCAGTGGCCATGGGCACTAGTATCACAGTCTCCAGACCCACAATGCTGGCTCCAAGTGGCCTAGAGAGGGCCCACTGCCTCCCAGGGGCATCCAGAGCTGGCTGCTACCCAGCACTCCAGTCGTCAGTCAGAGAAGAGCTAATTGCACAGGGCTAGTCATAATGGTAAAAACAGCAAAAAAAACACATGAGGAAAGTAGGATTTGGAGAATGTGAGGACATTGACTAGGTCATACAGTTTGCAAGCGGCAGAGTGGCCTAGGAACCCAGGTGGTCTGGCCCAGGGCCTGCCCTTGTCCACTGCACATGAACCATCTGAACATCAGGGAGCCGATGATCTCAGGGTGTGTCTTCAGTTTTGGGGAACTGGCTTCGTGCCCTGCAGTGGTCACCCAGTTTAGCAGAAGGGACCATCAGAGGAGCCTCACCCACAGAAAGGCAAATGAGAGCCCAAGCAAGAGTCCACCTTCCTCTCCCATCCCCGCCACCCCAGAAACTCTTTCTGGACCCTTCCAGGTACTCAGTGTGGCTTCACCTGGGTCCCACAGCGCTCAGCACCCCTTTTCTCCCACCCGGAGAGGGCACAGGGGGATCCATCTGCTACCCCTCTGCCTGTGGCTCCTTGTGCGTCCAGAGCCTGTGTGGTTGATCTGATTCCCAGCACCTGGCACCCAGTAGGCCCTCAATATGTATCCGTCCCACAGATCAGCAGACAGAGGTGACCCTTCCCTCCAGCCCCATCCAGACAGAGGTGCATAATAAATAAGACATAAGACGCACACACTCGTATTTCTCACTCCCTGGAGTTCAAGTAAAAATCTACATGGACGACACCCTGAAGGTCTGTGCTCTTTTCCAACCCATTAATGTCCTCCTTATCCACTCGACCTTGATCTGCATACCTAGAGGCCGACTTTCACCTGCTGCATCAACCAGACCCCCTTGCCCTGCAGCTCCAGCTGGCATTGGCCTTTGGCTGGTGGGAGAGACTGGCAGGAGGTGAGAGGGAGGCAGGAGAGAAGGACAAGGTGCTGATGGTTGCATCCACCCACCCAAGGCCACAGTCTGGTCAGTGGCCCTTCTCTCTCTGGGTTCCTGCAGACCTGGGATGGGGACAGCTCCCTGCTCCTGCTAGGGAGTACACAGGGTGCTGCACCACCCTTCATTGGTTTGCCTGGACCTTTTAATAGTCCACTAAGCTTTCCTCAGTTGTTCATTGGATAAGCCATCAGGTTTTCCACAAGAACCCTGACCCACATGTTGGGAACCCTATGCCTCACCCTTTAAAACAATGCATGTGCCCATCCTACCAACAGTAAAACTGAGGTAAGGTGGACCATACCACCCCATCCCAGAAGAACAGAGCCAGGCCTGGCACCCAGGCAGGCTGGCTCCCATCTGGCCATTAGGCAAGGCTAATTCTCACTAACTGCTTCCAGCCTAACCACGGTGCCCTGAGCTGAAGCCCAGGAGCCTGGGTAAGTTTGCATAGGGGGCCAATGGGACAGTACGTGAGAAACCCTGAGCCAGCTATAGGATGGTCAAGTTCCTAATGCATTAGCACCACTGGGCCCTTCACCAGCCCCTTCAGCTCCTAAACCACAGAACGCCACAGGAGTTCTCAAAGGACTGGGAGTCTCAACCTGGGGTGATAGGACCACCGACTCAGGGAGAAGCTGCAGCATCCGCTCCCACCATGAGGTCAGGAAGCAGCCCTTGTGTGCTGGGCAACCAACCCAGCCAAAGCCACTCAGAGACCCAGCACCGTGCACCCCCCACCCTGACCTGGTTCTCCTCTTCCTTCTCCTCTCCCACCCTATCCTCTCCCTTGATCGGCCAGTCTGCCTGCCATCTGCCACTCCTTCCTGCCCCAACAGTCCCAAATCAAAGGGCAGAGATGAGTGAAGCCCTTGCATGTCATCTCCACTCCTCATGAAACCAGAGCAGGAGGGACCTTTGGAAAGTTACCTGATTTCCTGAGTTCATCTCCAAAACTGTTTTAAACCAACCCATAGGGCCAAAGGTCAATTTTCCCAAGTTTTCAGACTCAGATTTCCATGTGGAAAATGCTTCCTTTTTCTGTCCATCCCTCAGCTTTTTATCCCCCCCCCCCCTTACCCAAGACAACACACTTAGACCTGGGGGCTCCCCCTTCCTTTACTTACTAGAGCCTTTCCAGTACTCAGTCCTCTCATCTGTAAAGTGGGAATGAGAATACCCACCTGCTGGTCGAGGAGCAAGTAAGAGACAGGAATGTTCCTTCTAATCCTTTCTGCTAATTCCAGTCCCGGTCTGGTGCTTGGAAGCAGCCCCACAGTCAGTCGCTGGCCTGTGCCCCTAGCAGTTCCTGGCCCTGCTCCCCTCTCCCTTCCCCCACACCCTCTCTCCTGCTGTTTTCCTCCTCTCCTCCAATCCTGGAGCAGCTGCACCCAGAGGCAATGGGAGGTGGGAAGGGCGGGAGAGGTAGGGCCAGGGAGAGTACTTCATGTCAAACATTCCAGGAGCCCAAACCCATTCCAAGTGGCTGTTGGTGGCTGAGAGCAGCTGGAGGCACAAGGGTGACTTGACTGACACAGCCAGGAGCCTCCTCCAGCCCGGGGCACTGTCAACTCTTCATCCACAGCCTGAAGTGCATTTTCTGGCTCTCAGGAAAGGCTTCTCTGCCTGAACAGAAGGGGCCCACCCACCCTAAGATGAAGACGTGGGTGCAGAAGACATGCAGAAATCACCCAGTCCCAGATCCAGGTGCTCAAATGTTAGAATTTCCCACCTTTTAGATTGAGCCATGCGGTCATCCTCTGAGCCCCATAACAGCCTGTCCCTCAGCACTTCTACCCTATGTTGATATACCTGTTGGCATCTCTCCCTCACCAGGCTGCCTCACTCCTCTTTATACCCTCTGTGTCCAGCACAGGGCCTGGCACACAGTAGGTGCTCAATAAATCGGCATCACATAGCCCTGCCTTGAAACCCCAGGGGCCACTGAATCCCCATCACCAAGGATCTCTGAGGAGCCATTTCTAGTCCGTGCCTTTCTTTATTCCTAATCACCTGAACAGACAGAACCCACCCTGAATGCTCCCTGCTCCTTTTTTTTTTTTGGCAGCTGGACAGTACAGGAATCTGAACCTGTAACCTCGGTGTTATAAGACTGTGCTCTAACCAACTGAGCTAATCATCCAGCCCATTTAATGCATAATTCTGAGTGATCATTTCATTCTGGCTGCTATTTATGCATATACTCCATGAAATTGGGACCGTATCTTGTACTGCTTTATCATTATATCCCCAGAGCATGGCACAGTGCTTGGCACACAAAATATTTAGTGAATGAATGAATGTCAAGAATTTAGCACAGTGCCTTGCACAGAGCAGACATCCCCCTAATTCTTCTTTTCCCCGGGCTGAATAATCTTGCCTCTGATCATTTTTCCTCATAGGCATTTTTTTCTGAATTTCCCATCAATCAGCAGGGAAATTAAGCATAGCTTCAGAGGGGCAGTAAAGAATGTGCCCCAGTCTGACCCGGGAGGTGGTGCATGAGTCAGAAAACATAGAACTGGGTGCCCACAGCCTTGCTCCCTGCCCGTCGCCGGCTCCACCCCACAGGCTCCGGCCAGCAATTCCAACTCCCACACTGGAATCCCAGGGCATGTTGCCTGGAGGCAGGAGGAAGGCTTTGAAATGGCCACTTGACTAAGAGACAAGAGACCAGTAACTCCAGTCTGGCCCTGCTGCCTCCTAATTGTGACCCTGGGTGGATTCCCCCTGACCTACCCACCCTCAACACAGACCTCAGTTCCATATCTGTGACCATGATGGGTGTGGCTGAGTTGATCCTTGAGGATCTTCCCCTCCAAATGCTGTGGCTCCAGGACAGATAAAGGGTTGGGGAACTCAGAGCCATGTAAGCTGAGAGTCACTCATGAGGCACAACTGGCCGGTCAGAGTTCAGTCCTATTGATACCCACTTCTCTGAAGAGTAACCCAAAAGTGAGAAATACAGCCACCAGGGCCTGTCAGCCTGTGGGATAACCTATGACTTGGACCTTCGCACTAGAAAGTGCTTGGGATCCCAACAGTCTGTTTAGGTCAGCCAGCCACTAGGACAGCTGAGAGCCTACTGTGTGGTCTGGTATCTGAAGCACAGGATGTTGGCTCCAGGCTACAGCTTATTCTAGACTCACTTGCAGCTTCACGACCCTGTTGGCCTCCAGCCTGGGAGAAAGCCCTTTCCCCAGGTATGAGGCTGGGGAGGAGCAAAGAGGGGCCGCTCTCAGCAGACAGGAAGGAGCACCCTGTGGTCCACCCGTTCTGGGATCTGCTGCTGCGGGCTGCCCTGTTCTGCACTCCCCAAGCAGCCTGATGTCGTTCCCCAAACCCTGGCTGGTTAGAAGCAAGCAAAGCCTTCTGGGAAGCCCTAACCATCTTACCTAGGTGACAGCAGGTTCAAAGGGCCACAGGATATGCCTCTTTGTGGGTAGAAAATCAAGGTGCTGAGTGCAAAGGAAAGTGGGAAGTGGGCCTAAGAAGACCAGATAGTGTCTTTAAAGAATCCAGGCCACACAGACCCAGGTCCCAGGTGGGATGTCAGAACACCTATGACATCAGAGCCAGAAGGGACTCGGCGCCAACCTCATCCAACCTCTCCTGGTAAAGGCGAGGACACCCATGCCCAGAACCTACATAGGCCTCCCACCCAGGCTGGCACCCCCTACATTTCCCCTGATATTCTGAGTCCTCATTCGAGTTCTGTTCTTAGTGAGTTAAAGGCCTTCCACCAGAATCTGGTGGTGTTCCCTGGGGCACCACACAGGAGTTCATCAGAATCAGAGGAAAGCTCGGACCCGCAGACATTTGAAACTGTTTTTCAAAATTATGTTCACAGGTGTCCCGATGTGTTTTTGTAGGAGGTGGGTCCATAGATTTCCTGAAATCCCCAAAGGTGCCTGAGATTCCAGGAAGGCAGACTTCCTGCTTTCTGTGTTGATGTGACACCAGGCAGGGGTTTCAACAGGGCAAGTGTGGCTCTCAGACAGTATCCCTGAACCAGAGGTGATTATTCCCCCAGGGGACATTAGCAATGTTGAAGGCATTTTTGATCATCATGACTGGGTGAGTGCTGCTGGCATCCAGCAGATGGAAGCCAGGGACACTGCTAAACATGCTACAGGGCAGGGCAGCCCCACACCCAGGAATCACTCAGCCCAAACTGTCAGTAGTGCCAAGGCTGGGATCCTGCTCTGAGATCTGCATGTGGAGCATACCCAGGAGATGGAACACGAACCCCTCCCCATCCACCTCCACCTCTATGTGTGGCTTCATACCAGGCAGACTTCAGAAATGGCACGGGCAGAGGAAGCAGCAGGAAGGACGTTTTTGTCAGCAAGGTGGCACCACACTAGCGCCTGGGCCCCGGCTGTGCCTGAGCCAGTGCCCAGCGGCTGCAAGCTCCCCAGGCAGGACTCAGGTGGTGCCCAAGGTGATATCTCATCACCAGGGAGTAGGGACAAGAAGCCTTTGTGCCCAGTCACCTGCAACCCGTCACAAAAGAGAGCTGCCCCAAGCCAGCCTCGTCAGGCCCTGCATGAAAAGCCATTCCCAGACACAGAGAGCAGCAAGTGGCACCCAAAGCCACACTTACCTTCAGAAAGCTTGGCCACCATCTGCCCCTCATCCTCCTCTGAGGGAAGATGAGGACAGAGGTGCGAGGAAGGAGAGGCAGGGAAGAGAGACAGGTGAGGAAGAGAGAGGAAGAGGAAAAAAGAGAGAGAGAAAGAGATCAATTAACAGGATTATTTCTTGAGCAAGAGAATTTGCTGAGAAAGGGGAGGCAGGAAAGCTGGGGTGAGGCCAGGGTAGAGCCAGACTCTGCACTGAAGTGCCCAAGGGGTGAGCTGAGACCCACAGTGTACAGCATCTCAGGCCCCAGGATGCAGTTTAAGACACTGGCTCTCAGGAGCCGGCCTCGCACAGCCGCAAGCAGGAGTGCGCTGGCTGGCAAGAGGCCACCCCCAGCCGCCCTCAACACCCAGTGACTCAGTGTCCCCAGTCATGCCAACACCTCCTCAGTAGGCGGTGCCCCAGCCATCTGTCTGTGGGGGTCACAAAGCATGCCACTGCCCTCCAACCTGGCTGGATGAGTCTTCTGGTGACTAAGGAAAAAAAGTAAATTCGACCCCAAGAGCCCCAGCCCATCCCTAAAATCAGAGTCTAGGGAGAAACTTTCTGGGCTCAGTCAGCTCCAAATCGCTGCTAAAGGCCCAGGGTCCCCTCTGTCTCCTTCTCTCATGGGAAGGACAAGAACTGGGAAATGGAAGAGGAGGTGGGAGATATGGACCTGAGCCTGGCTCTCCACTCTGTGACCTCAGGGGAGCTGGGAGCAGCCCAGGCAGCTGTCTTCCTTCCTGCCTCAGCACCCCCAAACTCAGGCTCCTGTCCTCTGCAGCAGGGTCAAATGATGCCTGCAGCAGGGTCAAATGATGCCAGCATCAGGAGGTGGATGAGGGGATGAGCAAAGGCTGGGAGAGAGTCAGGAGCCTTCAAGAGGCAGGGGGATACCCAGTGCTGAGAGTGAGAGGGCCAAGGAGACGGCAGACAGTGGTTGCTACTTCCGAGTCATGGGTTTCTCGGGCAGGGTTTGTGGGCCCAAAGAGGCAGAGTAAGAGAGTACCCCTAATGCCAGTGGTCTGGCCTCTGACATCTCAAAATGCTCAGAGCAGAGCCAGCTGGGCTGCAAGCCCTGGCCAGAGCAGCAGGTGCATGTTTCTCTGGCTGCATGTGCACGTGCATGTCTGTGCATGTATGTGTCCATGTGTACACAAGTGCCTGAACACTGGTAACATGTAGCATCAGGCTTTCAGCAGAAAGCTGACCAACTCCAAGGAAATTGAGAACAGGCCCCCAAATGCCCAAGTCAGAGAAGGCTGGGAGAGTCACTGAACCCACAAGTCGATGGGCAAGAAGGCTGCAAAGGGATCTGTCACCCCAACTCCTGCACAGAGAGCCCCACTCAGGCCCAACCTCAGTGTGGGCATCCTGGCCGACATCCTGTTTCCAGCAGAGTCTGAGAACCCTCCCAGTCTGGGGGTCTTCTGGTCAGATTCTGAGGCCCAGCCCCTGCCCAGGACCATAGGGGTCCTCCTCCCCCTGCCTTCTCCCACCTCCCTTCCAACCAGTCACTCACCGCCTGTCGGATGCAACAGGATGTCCGCTGGGTTGTGAGGTTTCAGGCCCAGAGCAGACAGGGGTGTCTTGGCCAGACCTGGAGGAGATCGCACTGTGCCAGAAAGAAGAGGGGAAACACCAGGAGTGAGGGGCAGGGCAGGAGGGCTAGCCCTGCTGTTATATACAGTCGGCCAGGGCTGAGCAGCAGGAGACAGTGCTGAGGAACCAGCCCAAAGCCCCAGATGCTTCAGCTCCACTGCCCTTTCCTGTCTCCACATTTCTCCACATTTCATCAGTTCAAGGAATAAATGGAGAATCCAAAAATGATGCCCTGTCCTGGCCCCAACTTTGAGAGTCATTTCTACCCCTAGGGTCTTGGTTTCTCCCTACAGTTCTTTCACATTGCCATGGCCTGCAATATGCACACGGGGTTCTTTGGCTATCCCTAGCTTGCAATATAATATTCTCTCTCTTCCCTCCTCCTCTCCCTTTCCCCAACTGCACCCCCCACCCCCATCATACAGACACACAGGCACACACACACACACACACACTCACACACAGTCTTTTTAAACCACGCACTTGGATGGACTTCGTGGAGAATTAAAGAAAATGGATTTTCAAGATGACACATCCCGTAAAGGACAGAGGCAGGATAAGAGACAGTGCCAGAACAACACCAACCCTGAGACCTCAGGCCAGCCCTCATTCAGATACGTCTCTTGCAAATCCCAAGAGGAGAGAAATTCTCAGTGTGGGGCTCTATACCCCCAAACCTCAGTGTTCTGGAAGAGGTAGAAGCCCTTGATCCTTGTTCAAGAGCACCTACTCCCTGTGCAAAGCCCAGGCTCCTCCCAAGCTGCGCATCTGGGTTACAAGTGTCACATAACACACAAGGTCAGAAAGGGCTGCTGGGCTTTTTCCCATCAGCCAAGGATGTGGCCAGACTCTGAGCTGATCTGCGGGGTGGTTGTTATACCCAGTCATGGGATGTCTCAGTGGCAGCTGCCGCATCTCCTAATGCACCTCTGAGGAGAAGTAAAGAAACAAGCTCTCTGTCTCCTATCAGAGATATCGGGAGCCTGCAGAGGACACTCCCTGCTGCTCAATGGCCTCAACAGACTAACTGTGGTCCTCAGATGCCCAGGAACCACACAGCAGCTCCATGACCCTCCCTGGCCCCTCTTGCTTTTCCCAAAAGACAGTGAGACCTACAGGAAACTAACAACCACCACCAAATGTAATCTCTCAGTGCAAGCAACATATATAACTTATCTGTGCATATGCAGGTGTATAGCCACATGCACATGGGGACAGTGAGACATCACTGGTGCCCAGACAGGTGGTCCACCCCTGCACTCCACCCTCACTCTGTCCTCAGATGTCTCGTCTGAGCATTTCGAGACGTCAGAGGCCAGACGGGTTCAAACATACATCTCCAGGTATGGGGCAAACCACCACCAAATGTAATCTCTCAGTGCAAGCAACATATATAACTTATCTGTGCATATGCAGGTGTATAGCCACATGCACATGGGGACAGTGAGACATCACTGGTGCCCAGACAGGTGGTCCACCCCTGCACTCCACCCTCACTCTGTCCTCAGATGTCTCGTCTGAGCATTTCGAGACGTCAGAGGCCAGACGGGTTCAAACATACATCTCCAGGTATGGGGCAGGTCTAGACCTGTGTGTCTCTATCTTTCCTCCCTCTTTACACACACACACACACACACACAGCCTGTTTCTACCACCTCCATGCCCCCATTCCCTAACATGGTGTCTTGCTCATAGACACTTATCAAGCACTTTTAATGTTTGTCAGATGAATGGACAGTTGACCATAATTATTAAAGAACAAGCCCAGCCTCAGAAACTACTATTCATGAAATAACCACGAAGCAGCTCCAGCCCATTAGTCTCTATAATATTTTTGTTTGCCCAATGGGTGCAGCAAAGGTAGAGTAGACCAGAGGGAGAAGGTGAAGAGGAGGAGAGGACAAGGGACAGTGGGAGGTTTCTCTTGGATTCCTCATCCCTGGTTCCCAGGCAATCTGGCCCTTCTGCTGAGGCAGATGAGTGGGTGGCCCTGAAACCAGGATGGCCTTTTGCTTCCTGAGAGAAAAATTCCTCGCATTTCTCCGCCTTCTATCTTCTCTCCCCAGCCCTGTGTATTTATGAAACCTCTGACTTATTTTTCTCCCTGCAGCAACCATGGCTGGCCGAGGGAGAGAGAGAAGAAGGCAAAACCCAGATCTAGCATGACCTCATGGCTTCCATCCCAAACAGAGTGATGTCTAGCCCCTGGCTGTTTGGACCTGACATCTGCTGGGGGCAGGTGGAAAGGTAAGATCCAGGAGAGAGATTTCACTGAGTCATGGAAAGCTACAGAGCTGGCTCCTGTGTGGCTTGCTCTAGGCTTGTGCTGTCCAATATGGCAGCCTCAAGCCACACGTGGCTGCTGAGTGTGTGCCACGTGACCGGTCTGAACTGAGATGTGCTGGAAGTGTCAAATACACACGGGATCTCAGAGATACTGTATGAAAAATAACACAAAGTATCTTGTTTTTTACACTGATTATATGTTCAAATGATAATGTTTTAGCTTGGGGTTAAATAAAACATACTTGTCTTTTCTTTTGACAGCTGGCCAGTAAGGAGATCAGAACACTTGACCTTGGTGTTATCAACACTGAGCTCTAACCAACTGAGCTAACCAGCCAGCCCAACATACTATTAAAATTAATCTCACCAGTTTCTTTTTACATTTTTTTAAAAGATTGTAAAATATCTCAATATTCTAATATCAATTTACTTATTGAAATGAAAATATTTTGGATAATAAAATATTTTGGAAAATATTTGGATTTAATAAAATACTATTTAAATTAATTTCATTAATTAATTAATTAATTAATGCGCTACTAGAGAATTTTAAATGACAGATATGCTCAAATTATATTTCCATTGGACAGTACTGTTGCTCTAAGGAGAACAGTGACTTCCAGGGGCACAAATCAGTCACAACTACAGTCTCCCATGTGTCCAAGATGGCACAGGGGCCACGTGCTGTTGCCACCTTCCTCCCCTGTGCAGGGCAGCCAGCCCCCAAGCAAAGGCAACTATTTAAATTAATTTCATTAATTAATTAATTAATTAATGCGCTACTAGAGAATTTTAAATGACAAATATGCTCAAATTATATTTCCATTGGACAGTACTGTTGCTCTAAGGAGAACAGTGACTTCCAGGGGCACAAATCAGTCACAACTCCAGTCTCCCATGTGTCCAAGATGGCACAGGGGCCACGTGCTGTTGCCACCTTCCTCCCCTGTGCAGGGCAGCCAGCCCCCAAGGGAAGGCACAGCCAGCTCCAGTTCTCCCTTCCTTACCCACCTCCCCTCACACCAGGCAAACGGACAGCTT